GGCAGAGGCCAAAGAAGTAACCAGGATGCTGAGCCCCTGGAGTCCCCAGGATGTTTTGATGACTTGTGAGGCAGGACGTCTGAAAAGTCTGGAAACTCCAGGGTGTGCGGTCATCACTGTGAGGCAGCTGACATAGCAAGGCCACATCCGTTTGCTTGTGGAGGTGGGGGTTACTGGCAGAGGAGGGGACTGGGGCCCCCACAGCAGTTCAGAAACTCGCCTGAGGTCTCTCAGTGGGAACAGGACGCGGCTGGCGGATATGTAGGTTAGAGCTGCTGCCCAGAGCTGGGGTGGGGGATCTGGCCTGCCGCCTTGTGCCCGCAGCTGGGCCCTGGGGATGTCCCAGGGCCAGGGCTGCCAGTTGCCTCCTTGCTTCTCCTCCTGCGGGATGTCTGCTGAAGTGAGCAGGGCAGGGCGGCAGATGGAGGCTGTCACCGGCAGCGAGGCCAGGAGGTTGGAAGCAAGCCGCATCCCAAAATAGCTCTGATAAGCATGGGGCAGGAGGGCCGGCCAAGCCTCAGCCTCAGCCTCAGCCTCGGACAGGCGGCCTCCGTCTGTCCCTCCTCAGGAGGCCCGGGCTCTGCTGACAGGCTGCCGGCCCAGGTCACACCTCCTCTCCTGGGGCCTCAGTGACGGGCCTGGCTGGTGGGACTGCTCTGGTGTGCGACCTGGAGGCTGAGGCTGGGCACAGCCCAGGGGCAGGGAGGTCTGGCAGGACTGGTGCCTTTTGATAGAGGGTAGGGGTCGGGGGCAGAGGCCACTGTAGGCTGGCAGGAGGGCCCGGGGACTTCAGTTGTGTGCCAGGCCCTTGGGGTCATGTAGGGTCTGCAGAGACGGAAAGGGTGGCAGGCTCCTTGGCTTCCCACGAGCCCCTGAGGAGTCAGGGCTGGGGTCTCAGGGTCTTCCTCTGGACACCCGAGCCCAGCAGGCCCTGTTCCCCAGTCCTGGGGTGGTGGGTCCAGGCCAAGGGGAGGAGGGACAGGGAGCCACTGGAGATCTACACCTCAGGCCTATGGGAGCCCTTCCAGAAACAGCAGGCTGATGCTCTGGCGGTGCTGCAGGCCTCCTTAAGGTCTTTGGGGGACAGGGAGATGGCCCAGGTAAAATCTCAGGGAAGCTCCTGCCCCCTGGGGTGGGCAGGGGGGCAGTGCGGGGTGCCTGGCCTGCGGGCCTTGACCCACCCCCTGCATCCCTAGGCTGCGAGCGCGATCGCCTGTCCTTCGGTTTCTGTGAGACGCTGCGCCTGCTGGGCCGCTGCCAGCTGCCCACCGTCCGCGCCCAGTGCTGCCGCTCCTGTCCCCCACCCGGTGTCCCCTCCCGCGGCCACCAGAGGGTCGCCCGCCGCTGACCCATGCCCCAGCCCCTAGCGGCCAGGACGCACAGATAGACTGACACACGGACCTCAGCGCCCAGCATGGGCTGTGGTGGAGCCCCGCCCCTCACGCCCTAATGGTGCTAACCGGGGATCCCACCAGTAGCAGGCTGGGGACCCCTCCCCCTCAGAAAAGGTATTTTTTTATTCTAACAGTTTGTATAACATTTATTATTATTATTGTCGTAATAAACAGGCATCTACTGTTTCCAGGTGCGGCTTGGCTTCCTCCTGGCTTGGGGGAACTCCCCCTTGCCACCGTTAGAGAGCATCTTTCCGTCCACTCCTCTGGGAGGTCTGCAGGGAGAGAGGGGCCCATGGGGACAGGAATGCCAGAAGGGATCAGAGCAGAAGCAGGCTTCTAGAGGAGGTGTGTGCTGGTACAGGTGGAGGGAAGGGTTTTCGGGCACCAGCTACAGCCTGGCAGAGGCCCACTGGATGCTGGTCCCACCCCTTACTTCATGCCCCCTGCTTAGCCGCCCCCCCCACCCAGCCCTTTCCAGACCCCTGCATTTCACAGGGATTGAGCCACACCCCCTTAAAAAGCAAGGCCCATCTTCTCACCAACAGGGTCTACCCCTGGAGTGAACCCCATGGACACATCCCCTGGCACCCCCGGCTTCACCCAAGTCTGTCTGTACCAGGGGTGGGGGGAGAAGCAGACAGGTCAGACCCACCCTTGTTGGCCCTTTCTTTCATCTCCATGCTCGGGGACGGGGCTGGGCTGGCTCCTTCCTCACTGCCAGTCCCAGATGCTGGGTTCCTGCTCTGACGACACGTGGTCCTGCCACCCAGCACCTGCCACACCAGCCTCTCCCTGCCTGCCACACCTAGTTCCATGGAGTCAGACTGTGGTAAATACACCAGGGAGCAGATGGGCACGAGGTGTTTTGAAGTATCCTGGGTCCTGGTGAGGGGTGCAGAGGCTGGAGAAGGCCAGGAAGTGACCTGAACAGGCTCTGGCCCTCACGTCTGGCCGTGAGCCTTGGACTTGACCATCTTACATTCTGCTCACAAGTGCTGCGCCTGGAGGGGGCTCGTCCCCCTTCTCCACTCACATTCTGTTCTGTGGTCCCAGGGACCCCCTGCTCTGAGGAATCACTTCCCAAGGCTTTCCACTGTGGCAAGAGCAAGCCCTTACAAGGGACGGGGAGCCGGGGCCAGCACCGGTCCCAGGCCCAGCTGTGCCCAGGAGCACCAAGCCTCGCTGAATCTGTGTTTCGAGAGGAGGCAGACTCCCCAGCTCCTCGCCTGCTCTGTCTGGGAATCTCTACTGGACCTCCCCCACGCCGTCACTCTGCGGCAAGACATTTGGTCTTAATCATTCTCGTGTGTTTTTCCGATGATGGGGGGTGAGGGGAGTGGCGTCCCCAGCGGCAGCTGGGCCTGAGCTGTCAGCCTAGGCAGGAGGCAAACAACCCGTGACTCAGGCAGGGCACGTCACCGCTGGTGGAAGGAGGGGTGCCTGCCACCCGGTGGCTTAGGGGCTGCTCCGGACACGGGGAACTCCGGCCCCTGACCCCTGACCCACCCTGTGCCGCCAGCCCTCACCTGCAGCTTGGCCATGGCTTCAGGGCCTCCCAGGGCTGAAGGCACTCTGTCCCACCTGCTCAGAGCGAACCAAAGGCAGGGATGCAGAAACACACGGTGGAAGGTGGAGAGCCACCCCCATCCCACCCCCACTTAAGCCCTGCCCCACCTTTCAAGCCTTTGGGGCTGAGTCCCTTCACAAGTGAATGTAACAGCTTTTCAAGTCAGAATGTTATACAAATGAGTTTATTTTGCCTTTTAGTAGGACAATTCCAAAATTTAACTGGAAGATAAGCACAGAAGCTGCTGGGACATGGAAGGAAGAGAGTCACTTGGCAACACCCTGAGTACTCCATGGCTGGCATCCAGCCTCCCAGAACACAGGCAGGAAGGCAACGGCGTGCAAAGTGAGGAGTAGGGATTTGTGCAGTAATACAAACATTTAGTTAAAACAACAACAGCGGACTGGCTATTTGCCTAGACTACTTCCTATATCGATATAACATAGAAGCCAGAGCCGTTCCCAGCAATCAACAGTCTTGGCTGGTGTGGGACAGCTGTCAGCATGACTGCAAGTAGCCACAAGGCTACCTGGGGTAAGAAGTGGGCCCGCGTGTACATAGGGGAAGTCAGTGAAGGTCAAGGCTGGGGATCAGAGAGGGTAGAGATGTGAATAGTGGTTCTGGAGGCTCAGGTTTACATATACACAAGAGAACATGTTATACAAAATAGATGTACATAATCTAGAAAACCTTGATAAAAATAGCCTATAAAAATATAAACTGTAGTGAAAATATACAAAAATATTAACAAATGTTCAACCCATAAAAAAACAAAGAACTCACCAACATGAAAGCTGGCAGTTCCCACCTGGCGTGATGAGGGCGGCTCCCCTGGCCGTGGTGTGCGCGTCTGGGAAGCTGGCTGAAGGCTGCCCCGCCCCAGGCTGGGATGGAGGCAGCACCTGTCAGAAGGGGAGGATACGGAGCTACTCTTTCCTCAGCGGCACAAGAAGGGAAGCACTGGCTCGAAGTAGTGGGAACAGCCCCTACAGTTGTGGAGAAGGATTGGCCCCATCCTGTCCCCAGTCTGGAATCAGGTCAAGCAGTCCCTCTCCCGCCTCTCAACAACCAGTGCTTTATTCCAGAAAGGAGAACTTCCAAGCAAGTGTTCCCAGCCCATTCCTTCCACGACCGCTCTCTGTTCTCCCATACCCACTGCCTCACCACTAACAGTTACAGCCTGGAAATATTAACACACCACTGGCCGCTCAGGGAACGGCCAACACCAGGGGCTTTAGCCACACACGGCAGGTGCCTGGGCCCAATTCAGGTGCTTTTAAGATAAGTCTTTTCAAGGCAGGAAGGACAAAACAAGCCTACTGCTAAAGGCAGCATTTTAGTCCCCAGGATATGACAGTTCCAGGGGAAATCAACTTAGGGGAAACTAAAATCTCAAGGAAGCTGGCGCTGCCCAGCCCCATTCCTCCTGCCATCCCCAGAGGCTGCCATCCCCTAGGCTGGCGGCAGAGGCGGGAGGCGGTCTCCATCAGCCCCAGTGGTCCTGCGGGGGTGTGTGCAGAGCGGTGAGGCTGCATCCTCACCTCAGAGCGAACCCACTCACAAGGCGACTTCCTGGAGATGTCTGGCCTCAAACAGCCACTCCCGAGGACAAAACAATAAGATACATTTTGATACCTACATATAGAGGCCAGCTCCCCGGACACAGTGAAAAACCAACCAGCTTAACCAAAGACAGAAAAATTGAATATGCTGAAATGCTATCCTGGCTATGAGACTGCTAGAAGGTTGACAGTAAGAAAAGAAAAACTATGCTTATGAAAAAAAGCACTCTTCAAGTTACAGTGCTTCAACAAGTCTGAGTGTGTTTAATATCCACCAAGGATTGTTTCCAATTTTTTCCAGGTAGTGTAAAAAAAAAAGAAATCCACCAAAAACTTTTTCTTTCCTATTTGAGTATTACTGTCCAGGAAAACAGTCTCTCACACCAAGATATCAGGGATGGTCCACAGAGTGATTAAGCAAAAACAATATTCCTTGCACAGAGCCTCTTTCTGGACCTTCAGAAAGGTCATGCTTTAAGTCCCAGAACTGCCTGGGCAGCCCGACACACTGTGGGTGGTGGGGACCCCACAGCGGGACAGCTGCTGAGTACAGGATATCTCAGCGTGGCCGTGGGGAGGGGATGTCCCTGGGAGGGCTCGCCAAAGCTCTGACCTCAAGTGAACGGTTCCCAGCCCCAGGCCCTGGGAGCCTCCCCCGACCCCAGCCCGGCACACTGGCTGTTCCCGAGGAAGCCACAGTTCCAGCTGCCCGACGGCAACCACTCTGTTGCTACACTGCCACCCTGAAAGTACGCCCAGAACAGCTCCCTGCATCCCCTCCACCAAGGCCAGCCCAGGGGCGGGCCTGCTCTGTAGGACGATGATGCTGGGTTTCCTTGGAATCCCATCCACACGTGAAGAATGAGCCCAGGGTCAACTCTCAGAAGGAAAGAAAGGGTCTGCACGGAGCTGCCTGGAGCGGTGTAGGCAGAGGAGCGAGCGTGGGGTGTCTGGAGAGCCAGGCCCTCCGCCAGCAGGTTGGGAGTTCCTGTCTGAAAGGCTGTGCATGAAAGGGCAGAAGCTATTCCAGAAGTGGGGCACGGCCAGCACCTTGAAGCCATCAGCGTGAGGTCTGTGGGCTTGCCATAGGATGTTTCTGAACAAGGGATGTGCTTGCTTTCCTAAGAAAATCCCTTCTTTCACATGAGCCTTATGTCACCCAAAGCAGTTAGACTCTGGCCCAGGAGTGTGTGAGGCGTGGTGGGCGTCCTCCACGACTACCATTCAAACCAGCGCCCACAACCGCTCACTGTGTACAGGAGCCACCACCGGGAACACGGCCCGTGGAAGGTTTCCTAAGGGCAGAGACAGCAACACAGCTGACAGATGCTGTAAACACGCTCGTGAAACTAGCCAGCTCTAAGCCCGGTGAGGTACCAATCGGGCGGAAAGCATGACAGGACAGGAGGAGCCATCGGCCGTGGCATGCAGATGGCTGTAAACAGAGGAGACCCGAGTGGAAACGAGAAAGTGCAGTGCGGCTCTGGATGTCTGCCCAGCAGACTTCCAGAGACCCCGGATGTTACATTCTGGATGTGGAACGAGCACAGGCGTCTCTGCAGTTCACCCTTTGGCACACTTTGGTTGCAAGGAGAGCAGCGTCCTGGGCGGGGGCACGGGGCAGCACTCAGGTGTCCTCTTCCTCATCACTGACCAGCTCGCCCTTGTCCGGGCTGGTGTCCCGTTCGCGCAGGAAGTCCTCCCGGATGGCCTCCAGCTCCGTCAGCTCCAGCCGGACCTTCTCCAAGTGGTAGGCCCGCCGGTTCCGGATCTGCCGCAGGGGGAATGGGTTCAGGTCCCCAAAGGAGATCCCGATCAGCTTCCTGGCAGAACACGGCAGAGACAGAGCATTGTGGGCGGGGGGGGGTCAGGTGAGAGTTCAGCCTGGCCTGGGGGCCCGGGGGCGAGGGGAGGCAGACCCCAGACACTGTGCTGAGGGCCTGACATGGGTGTCACTCGGAGGCCAGTGCGCACACAGAGGCCGCAGGGCAGGCCCCAGATGACGGCCTGGATCCAGTTCCACCACACACGCCCTGCGTGACATGGAACGTGGGAAGCTCCCCCCTTTCCAGCCCCCAGTTCCTCATCTGTACACTGAGGTAACAGCAGTGCCACCTCCCGCATGGGTTTACTCAAGTCGCCGCCCAGGAGCACCAGGACGGGGCCTGGCACTTGCTCGGTGGTGGGCCTCTGCATCCTCAGAACCGGCATGAGGCCTGGTGCGGGGCGCCCTCAGGTGCCTGGTGCTGGACGGGGTGAAGCGGTGCACAAATGCCCCAGCAAATGTGGGGACAGCTGTCAGGCCCAGTCAGTGGTGTGACAGGTATTAAGATGCAGCTTATGAAGAAGAGTGCAGTTAACAGGTTTCATACTATCCCCAGGCCTAGGCACCCACCACAGTAAACATTTAAAAATCATGGGTTTTGCCCCTTACCATTGGCCAGCAGTTTAGTAAAAACGGAACTAGAAAATGCCCATAACTAGAAGCTATAGACTTCTAGCACTAACCATGCCATGTCTCTGCAGTTGTCACAGAAGCCGGTTCCTCCGACCCTCAGCCCCTGCCCCGCTCCTGCAGGCCCCAGCAGCAGGGACCAAAGGCCTGCTACTCTTAAAGTCCCCAGGAGAGGCTGTGATGAAACAAAAACGTCACTGGACTTCCCCCCAACTTCCTCCCCATTTACTCCTGCTGCTCCTCAGTCACGTGGGCTGTTTTACTATAAGGTGTACATAGATAAGACAACACATGCCCTTAGCATCACTCCCTCTTATATTTTTAAACACGCACTTGTTAGACATGCCTCACAGCAAGCCAGACGATGCTCCTGCCAGAAGGTAAAGGGTCAGAAAGTCTGGCGCTCAGAGCTGAGCTCCCCAGAGCGTGTTCTAGAGCCAGTGAGCAGGAGCGGCCTGAGCACAGCCACGGTTCAGTGTGGGTCTCAGTGAAACAACATGCTGGCCGGGAATGGGGAAGCAGATCTGCAGGACCAGCCCCTTTCCTCTGACAGCTGTTAGTCACGGGTTCCATACACCTGGAATCGAGGCGTTCGGGCCCTTCCTTGCTACAGAAAAACCGAATTAGACTGACACTGTCCGCTGCTTCCACCAGGCTGTCACTACTGCCCATGAAGGCAGCCTGCAGCAGCAGGGAAAACACACCCTGCTCTGCCTCGGGCCTGGAAGGTACAATCAAGAGGTGAGAAATGCCCTGTGTCAGCTAAGTCCAGAAGACGACACTTTGCACCTGAGAGGTCCCCAAGAGTCCTGACTCAGAGACTGGTCTAATCTTGTTTTACCCACCTCCCCTGACCACATCTGACTGGGAATTCCCTGCCTCCTCTGCAGAACCAATCAGTGTACTTGCACAGTCGCTTTTCCTTGGAACCGGTGATCTGGGGAGCTTATTAAGCACTGGGGCCTTATTACAGAGGTGGGGCTCCACCACTTCAGGCATCTGAAGTCCTAACAACACCCCCAGGATGATCCTGCTGCACTCGGAAACTCCGGGTCCAGGGGACCTTGACTTCCTGCAGTCACTCACCAGGTGGCGCTGCAGAAGCACGCACGACAGACCATGTCCCATTTCCGCCCATGTCTCTGCCACCCTGCAGGGCATCACCCACAACCTGCACAAAACTGTCCCGGGCTGAGCAGGATGCCCTCCACATGCATTAGCTGTCAGAGTGAAGTTCACTTCACACCATTCTTGTCGTCTTGACCAGATGTGGGATTAACGAATACTCCGAAGGTTCACCCCAGGACAGACATTCTCAGATATCCTATTGTTGTTGATATGGCAACAAGCCTGAAAAAATCTGAAAACCCACTTCCCAAGTAAAAGATCCTGACAGTAGTGGTGACATGTAAGGATGCCAGGTGTGGCCCCAGCCAGTATCTTCTCCCAACATCCACCTCCCTGGTCCCCTTGCCTCACTCAAGAGAACCACAGGGGAGAATGGTCAGGCCCCTCTCTCTAGCCCCACACGCCCCCTGTCCCAGGACCCCTCAGCACTGGTAGCCTGCAGCTCCTCCTGTCTGACGCTGCCCAACCACTTCTCATGACATTGGCCAAGAAGAGAAGCTGCCTTCTCTTCTTGTGAGCATCGGGAGGGCAACTGGTGTTTGTCAAGGAGGTGGTCACCCATCAGTGAATTGAAGAGTCAGTTTAGTGAGTGATGACGAGCATTTTAAATATGTGATACACAGTGTAAAATATCAGGGGGTAGAGCACAGGTCTGTATCAAGCACTGGAACTATTTCAATGAACAAATTCTCCTGTTCCAGTTACAGACTCTCCAGTATGTGTGTCCCAGGTTGTGAGATAAAATGTTCTTATGGGTGGCAGTCAACACAGTTTGAAGAACATTAATAAGCTCTAAATGTCTGTCAGTGAAAGGACACCTGTGATTTTCATGAGGCCACAAGTCTGCTACAGGGATCCACTCCCATAGCAAAGGTGGCTCCCAGCGCCTCAGTACAGTGAACATCAACGGGGACTCAGGAGTTCACAAGGACATGCACCCCACTTGCCCAACCAACAGCAGGTCCACAGAAACCCTCTGGCGAACACACCTGGGCTGCCAGGGCCAGAGCAGCTGCGAACTGTGGTTCAGTGGACACAAGGACAATGACGGTGGCCCAGAAAGGCCCTCTACATTTGTGGAGCGACGGGGATTCCTGACCTCTCGGCTGCCCAGGCCAGAAAGCCAGGGCCCTTCCAAGTTCAAATTCCCTCTCTACTCCTTTCAACCTGCCCACTCTGTTGTGCCTCTGGGGGCACCTCAAGCCAGGCTACCACTTCTCTCACCTGGAGCCTGGGCCTCCTGCAGCCAGTCCTGCTCCAACCAGACATGCCTTTCTCATGTCCAACCTGCAGGGACTTCCTAACACTCAGGGTGAAGCAGCCTCCTGGGCAGTCTACAGAAGCCTTAACAACCCAGCTCTGCTCAGGCCTGGCTCGATCCTGCCATGCCAGCCCCACCCTGGCTGAGCCTCTGGGGCCGCGCCCTAAACATGCTGTGCTGTCACGCCCTGCACGCAGCTCCTGGGTGCCCCCTGCCCAGGGGGCCCACGCCCTGCCGCCCCCACCAAGCCCAGTTTACCCGGGCTTCCTTCACCACAGCTCTGAGCAAAACCCTGCTGTAACATCCTCACGAGCTCTCCGAGGACAGGACCTGCTCCTCACCCACCACCCTCTGTGCCTGGCAGAGGGCCTGCTACGTGGCAGACACTCAGTAAGTGCTTGTGAGACAAGGAAGGATGTGCTTTGATTGCTAGGATTTATGTTTATTGGGTCAAGGATAAAAGCTCAGGGGCCCTGCTCTCCTGGACATCTGGGGGTCCCCCAAGGACTCACCTAGCATCCAGGATAGTGCGTGTGAAGTAACGGAGGTACTTGAATATGGACATTGAATCCTGAAGTTTCAGGATCTCCTCTTCCTTGTATTTAAAAAGTGCCAGGGCAAAGCGGAAGATAACCTGCAGAAGGACAGGGAATCCGTGAGGGGAGAAGCACCGAGCTCCAGGCGCTAGCTCCAGGGATGGGAGACCTGCCGGATCCCTGGGAGCACAGCCTGCACGGGGTCCCTGGGGCAGACACGACCTCAGGAGCCATTTCTACAGGTGTCTTTCTCAATAGAAAAACGTTTTTAACTCTCTGGTTGGTATTCAGCAACACTTCAGCCCAAACCAAAAATTTCCTTAAGAAGTAGAATCTTTGTGGATTTCTCCACATTCAGCTCACATTTCTAGTCCATAAGCTATACAGGACTAGAGATAAATGTTAAATTAATCAAAACCAGGGTCCTCTGATTCTGAAACTCTTAGAAAGCTCTACCTCCGGAGGTAGTTTTTATCTCACCTACTAAAATTAGGGTCTGAATTACTGACTTCTGAATATGGGGAAAGAAAATTTGAAAAACAAATTTTTTTTTCTGATTTGTCTCTGGGTCACTCTGCTGAGGCCAGAGGAAATGGACTCCAGCTGCTCCTGCAAGTTTTAGCAGCTCTGGAACAAATTACTTCACCCACATCTACGGGTGTTGGCTGGTCTGCAACAATGTGAATTTTCTCTTATTCAGAAAACAATACTTACGGAGTTTAAATACCTGATCCTTCTCTTAGCATCACTACCTGTGACCCAGTGGGAAACACTGTTTAAGCCCTGGTTGAGAACTCTTAATAATGACAGACTGAATTTAAAAGGTGATGATGTACTATGTTGGACACAGTATGGGATTAATATACACACTCAAACTTTGCTGGTGGGAGCAGAAATTGATAAGGCCCTTCTGCAGGCAATTTGGCATTCTCAATGAAAACTACAGGGTCTTTTGATTCTGGATTTACCCTGGACCCAGCACATCCACTTCTAGGACTAAACCTATGGATGTACTTGTACCTATAGAAAGACAGTTATAAGGAGTCAATGCAGCACAGTTTGAAACAGCAAGAGATGGAAACAATGTGAATGTCCATTATCAGGGGACTATTTGGTAAATTTCTGGTTTATCTGGACAAGGTGATATTACCAGAGTTTAAAAAAAAAAGGCGGGGGGGGGGGGAGCAGATCTATATACCCTGATATGGAACTATCTCTGATAAATAATAAACTGAAAAATCATATTTTAGATATACATCAAATACCTTGAAAAAGAGATACAGTACATTGAGAAGAACAGTTAGGAGACTGGGAGTCTCCTTTCTACTGCACACTCTTAGTTATATGATTTGAGTTTATTATGTATTACTTATTCACAAACTGACTTTTTTTAAAGCATACACAAACTGAATGGGAGGTCTGTGAGCAGTAGGGCTCTGAAGCTGGCCCCCTGAGTCTGCCCCAATCATCTGCTCACTCTGGGCCTCTAACTCCTCATCCATACAATGGAATAATACTGCCAGCTGTTTGACAGAGGCTGAGGCTCAGACTGCAAACCATTGAAGCCCCTGTGCAAGACACAGTGTTTGGCACACACTCGTTTCTGATCAACCAGCAACTGACTGCAGTTTCCTGCGACCCCTCTGGTGGCCCCCAGGGCTGGATCACTCTGCCCCTTGGTAACCGTCGAACATTCCAGTTAAGCTGGGATGCCTCTGCCACTGCCCATGGAATCATCCAGCGAGCAGACCCACCTTTGGTCCCTCATAAAGGAAAGAGTCCCATATTTTAAAGAGGATGTCGCTGACAACGCTATCCACAAACACCACCAGGAACCAGTTGAATGTGATGAGGGTGTAGTCGACTTTGTACTGTTCAAAGTGGGCGTGCAGTCGAGGCAGCTTCTCGCTCATGAGGTCTCTGAACACCCGCTGGTCCACCTGGAGAGGGAACAAAGGGGAGAAGAGTGTGGGGGCTGCCATGGCACAGAGTGGGTCATCCAGGGCCCTGGGGGGCTGCAGGCCCATCACAGTGCACCGCGGTGTAGCCGTTCCAAATGTGTGGAGGGCTCACCCCAGAGCGGAGGGCTCTGTGCCCCAGAAGCAGTTGACCTCACACAGCAGGCGCTCACAGGGCGGGGGGCTGGGTGTGATGGCCTAAAGCCACGCCTGCACTCAAAATGCCCCATGAAAACAGCTGCTGCAGAGCTGGTGGAGTAGTCAACCTTGCTAATCTGTATGGAAATACAGAGGGTGCTGCTACACAGGGCCACAACCTGAGTCCCTGGCCCAAGAGGAAGTGTGGTATCACCACATCCATTCGCCAAGTATTTGCTAGCTGGGTGGGACAGTGAGGGAGCCAGGACTCCAGAGTCAGCTGCACTTGAGCTTGGGTCTCAGCTCTACTACTGACTCCAGAGTGGCCTTGGGCACACTCCATTCTGGAGAGCTCTGCTCCTCATCTGGAAAGCAGTAACAGCCTCCTTCTCCCAGGGCTTCTGTGAAGACTACAAGAGACTCAGGTAAGTACCTATCAACATAGGTGGCTGTTATCTCTCCATGTTCTGTGTCAGGCAAGGGCCAGTGCTGGGCAGAGGCTTGACTCGGGTTCAGTCCTGACTTCTAGGAGCTAAAAGATGAGTGGGGAAGGAGATGTATGGGCTGTTACACCAGCCATGCCAGGGCTTGGTAAAGATGTGTTTGCAGAGCATTACAGAGCTCCGGACGGGTCCCAGCCAAGTCTGGGGGAGAACAGCCCTGCAGCGGAGGGCACAGGACTGTGGGCAGAAGGGGTGTGAGGGAGGCAGCCCGGCCTGGCAGAGGTACCATGCCCCTGAGGGTCAGGCCAGGGGCTTTTCCAGCCTTTGTCTGTGACCCACAAGACAACATACGTCAACATCACCCAATCTGCATCGAACAGAAACAAATCTTTCATGAGCATTACTTAACTTCACACAGGAGGACACACTTTGATGCCTCAATTCTAGTCTATTCAACTTAATGTGATGAAAAACACTACTGCCAACCCCCTATACTGATTTCTCTACTCATATTTGAAAAACGCAGCAGGCAATGAAGGAGAAGCATCAAGAGGCTTTGGGTAGGAGAGTGATGGGGCTGGATTTGTGCTTTAGGTCTGTCTCTCTACTTGCAACAGGGGCCGAGCTAAAGGGGAGGCCCATGGAGGCCCCCCACACCCAGAGCAGGGGGGATGAAAATCAGAGCCAAGGAGAGGTGGTAGGAGGACAGGAGCACCTAGATCGGAACTACATGGAGGTAAGGGAAACCATGCAGACCCTGTGCCATAAGAGGTAAGGAGGAGGGGTGCTTGGAATACACAGGCCTCCAGAGGGGCTGGAGAGGGCAGAGTGTGGTCCCCTGAGGCCGGGTCACAGGAATGAGGGCTGGGGAGACTGAGACATACTGGTGCCTGGGGGCAACTCGAGCAGGACAATTGCAGCTCACCAGAGACCCAGGCTGAGGCTCCATGGCCCGGATGCAGTGAGGTCACCACTCCACCAGTGAGCAGTGAAGCATCAAAGAAGACCCGCAGAAGAGAGCAAGCCACCATGCACAGCGGGCAACAACCAGGCTGTCCGCGAACAGGGGCAGCTGTGCAGGAAATGTCGGCCGCATTAGCGTGCCCTGAACGGCATACTGAGATGGGAGCGTGAATTGGTGCAACCACCTGGGAGAGCAATCCGGCAACGCCCAGGAGACAGGAAGCCTGCAGCAAGCCTGCTCCTAGGACTGGATCCCGAAAAACCCGCCAAACTTTCACCAGCGTTATCAGTCAAGTTATGGTAGAAGGTGTGTGAATTCTTGGGATGACTGAGATACTAGAACAACTAGAAACAATCTAGATAAATGTTAAAGTGACATTTTAAAATGTCCTTTTTTAAGGAGAATCTAAAACTTTGAAAAACTCAATTGTTACCCTTATGGGAAAGGTTTTTTTTTTTTTAAATATAGAAGCCACTGTAGTAAAAAATATATATATATTTTTAAAAAAGAATGTTACACAGGTTCAAGTACAACTGGTTGAAATGTAAAGATTTAAAAGGCAAAGTAACTTATAAAACATTATTTTCCACAGAAATGATTCTAAAGCATTGTAAAGTCACCTTAGGATACACAAAGGATAAAATGCAGGAATCATGGTTGGAAACATACATTTTTGTCCAGTTTGCTTTCTGGCTAGAAGAGACAAAATTTCAAAGACCTAAATTAGCTGAAATGAATTATAATTAATTTTTCTTAGAAGACTTAAACAAAAGCACATAAGAAGCTATAAAACCATCTCATGGTATGCAAAAAGTATCACCCTCTCACCTTCTCACCCACATCTGTTCCCCAGTGCTGTAAGATTCTGATAGGTGGACCAGTTACTGAAAGGCAAGTTGTCAAAACATCTTATGGGTGCATGCGCGGTAGCCATGACAAGCCATACCTGGGCATCCTCTTTGGTCAGTTTCCCTGGAAGCCCAGACCCTCCCACAGGGAAGGTCAGCATCACTCACTAGTGATGGTACTTCTGCAGGTGCTATTCCATCCCTCAGCAGATAAACAACAACCAGCCATTTGCACACACGTCACACTTGGCACTGGCCAGTGCTGGGGACGAGAAACAACAGGAGCAGGTGCTGCCTCTGCATGCATACTAAGTCGCTCAGTTGTGTCTGACTGTGACACCATGGACTATAGCCCGCCAGGCTCCTCTGTCCTTGGGATTCTCCGGGCAAGAATATGGGCGTGGGTTGCAGTGCCCCCCTCCAGGGGAGCTTCCTGACCCAGGGATCAAACCTGCGTCTCTTACGTCTCCTGCATTGGCAGGTGGGTTCTTTACCACTAACGCCATTAGCATGCATGCACACTGCCTTTAAGAGGCTGTAAACAGCCAAGGGAGACAACAGCTGACTATTGGGCCAAGTGATGGCGATATGATGCCCTCTGCCTAGAAGGACTTGGGCTGAAAGTGCCTGAGAGGAAGGGACCAGTCAGCTGGCCTTGAAGTGGGAGAAGACCCAGGCACACGCCTTTCCTGCCAGGTAGGTGGCAGATGGTGCCCTGTTCTTGAGGCTGCCTGGGGCTTGGCAGAGGGCTGGTGTGGGGAAGGCTGCCAGGGGACGCCTGCTCAGCCTCTGTTCGGCTCTCTGAGCTCAAGAGGATGTGGAATGACTATATTCATCTCTGTGTCCCCGGCATCTAGTGAGGTCCTGGCACGCAATGTACACTCAGCCGAGGGGACAGACGGAGAAGCTGCTGAGTGTCTGGACGACAGTGCAGCGTGAAGGGGCTCAGTGCTCAGCTCCGGCAGGAGGTAGCTGACGGCAATCTGCATGGCATGGCGCTGGGGCTGACCGCACACACACGGCTATCCCCATCTGAAAAGTGGCCTTACACAACATCTGTTACAGAAAAATGGTTAAATACCTCATGTCCAATCAACCGATGGAATATTACCAAATATGACATTGAAAACGAGACAACATTATGAGAAAATGTTCGTGCTGTCATGTGAATGTGAACCAGCCAGGATAATTGGCTCTGAATCTGGATACTTAAATGTACTGGGGAAAAGTCAAACGGAAATATATCAAAATGCTAACTGTGGTTCTCAAGTTGGTAAGGTAACAGGTAACTTTTCATTTCCCTCTTAATATGCATTTCTTAAAGAGATGGGAATACCAGACCACCTGACCTGCCTCCTGAGAAATCTGTATGCAGGTCAGGAAGCAAGTTAGAACTGGACATGGAACAACAGACTAGTTCCAAATAGGAAAAGGAGTACGTCAAGGCTGTATATTGTCACCCTGCTTATTTAACTTATATGCAGAGTACATCATGAGAAACGCTGGGCTGGAGGAAGCACAAGCTGGAATCAAGATTGCCGGGAGAAATATCAATCAAGATATGCAGATGACACCACCCTTATGAAAGAAAGTGAAGAAGAACTAAAGAGCCTCTTGATGAAAGTGAAAGAGGAGAGTGACAAAGCTGGCTTAAAGCTCAACAGTCAGAAAACTAAGATCATGGCATCCGGTCCCATCACTTCATGGCAAATAGATGGGGAAAGAGTAGAAACAGTGGCTGACTTTGTTTTTCTGGGCTCCCAAATCACTGCAGATGGTGATTGCAGCCATGAAATTAAAAGATGCTTACTCCTTGGAAGGAAAGTTATGACCAACCTAGAAAGCATATTAAAAAGCAGAGACATTACTTTGCCAACAAAGGTCCATCTAGTCAAGGCTATGGTTTTTCCAGAGGTCATGTATGGATGTGAGAGTTGGACTATAAAGAAAGCTGAGCACCAAAGAATTGATGCTTTTGAACTGTGGTGTTGGAGAAGACTCTTGAGAGTCCCTTGGACTGCAAGAAGATCCAACCAGTCCATCCTAAAGGAGATCAGTCCTGGGTATTCATTGGAAGGACTGATGTTGAAGCTGAAACTCCAATACGTTGGCCACCTGATGCAAAGAGCTAACTCATTGGAAAAGACCCTGATGCTGGGAAAGATTGAGGGCAGGAAGAGAAGGGGACGACAGAGGATGAGATGGTTGGATGGCATCACTGACTCAATGGACATAGGTTTGGGTGGACTCCAGGAGTTGATGATAGACAGGGAGGCCTGGCGTGCTGCAGTTCATGGGGTCACAAAGAGTCGGACACAACCGAGCGACTGGAATGGACTGAACTGAAGGGTTTCTGTGTTACCTAACTTCAGTGAGTATATCTACTGGGCTTCCCTGGTGGCTCAGATAGTAAAGAGTCTGAGGAAGGCTGTGAGAGGCCTGGGCCCAGCGCGAGGTTGTGGCTGCATCTGTGAGTGAGACGGAGGGAAGGATGAGTGGGTAAAGGCAGAAAGAGAGAAGAAGAGGCACCTTCAATGATGCAGGAGAGGGGACAGTGACCTAACAGTGGTGAGAGGACAAGGGAACAGATCTGAGCCACCTGGCGGGTGGCAGTGATCAGAAACAGCAACTCCAGGGGCACAGAGGGACCGGAAGGGGGAGCGTGGGCTGACCCAATTCCTGGTCTGGGGTCTGTGGGTGACGGGGCAGTGCAGGTGCTAACAGAAGGCAACAAGGGGGCTCCCTCCAAAGACAGAAATGCAAATAAAACAGGGCCCAACTAGGCCAACAGAAACCACATGAAACATTTACAACAGGGATTTTTCCCAGGGCAGTGGTCACATTGGTGACAGGGAGGCCGAGAAGCCAAGCAGCTGATGGTGAGGTGGCCCAGAGGCCAGGGCAGGAAGCCACCCCTAGGCTGGAGCAGGGGGGCCCCCGGTGGCATAGACAGGAGCTGGTGCCACAGAGGAGACAGAGGAAGTGCCCGAGACAGAGAGGGGAGAATGGCCCTCAGCTCCCTGCCCTCCTCCAGGCTCCCCACAGTGCCTCTGCTGGCCACGCAGGGGCTGGGAGATGGCCCGGGCCTGCGGACCCAGCTGTAGGGAACCGAGAAGAGCAGGGAGGGGCAGGACACAGGGCTCTCGGGGAGTAGGCATGGGCACAGGTCAGACACAATAGGAGGAGGGCTGCCAGTGGGGGAGCAGGCAAAGTCTATCTGGAAGCCAACGAGAGCAGAAGTCCCAGTTCAGCGCGGGAAGAGATGCCCTGGGCTGCAAGGGCCAAAGGTCTGGTCCTGAGATGGGAAGTCGCCAGTAGAGCCAGAACCCCTGGGCCATCCCAGCCCATATCATCCTACTGGCCCCTGGCTTCAGACTCCAGGAGCGGTGGGCAGGAACTGTGCTGTTGGGACCACCTGCTGCAGGCGGTACTGGAGACCCCAGCTCTGTCCCTCTGGACCCGTTACGACATTGTTCACAGGACTCGTGTCGTCCCTGCTGCTTCCAGCCAGTGAGCAAGCCGGGCAGGGGCACAGATGAGGTGGGTCTCATGTGCACTTTAACAGGTGACCTTGGCTCAAGGATTCCACACTGGCCTAACCAAAACTTTCTGAGAACTGCGCAGCAGGTTGGGGTCTTCCCCACCACCCAAACCTCCCTCCTTAAGCTGATCTGGGGGTTCTCCTGGCCTTCCCCAGTTCCTCCCCTTGATGCTTCATGGGTTTTCCCCTCAACAGTCTCTGATATGTCTGCTTCTACCTTGGCCTCTGCCTCTTGGAGAACCAGAGCTAACACACCCAGGCTCCCTTGAACTGTGGCTTAGCCAGCCAGGCAGAGTCCAGTGGAGACAGTGCTGAGCAGTGACCACAGAGCAGGTCTGCTGGCTTCCGGGGCACTGAGCCCGACCGGGCACTCACTGGCTTGTGAGCAGCCCGACCCAGGCTGGGGGAAGCGGGGGCGGGCGGAGGGGGCAGCCTCCATGTGCACCTTGTCATGCCCATGGAGCATTCCCGATCAACGCTTAATTCAGGTCACAATTCAGCTCTAATTCTACAAGTTGCTGACTGAAGCACAATATTTTTAGAGTACCTGGGATCCTAAAAGAGTCTTTGTGTAATAGTCTCGAGGCATGAAAACTTCCACTATGGTGACGAGACACCAGAAGGCATCTTCTTGTTCCAGGTACAGGAGGGCCACGGCCACCAATCTACAAGCAAACAGAGAACAAGGTGAGTGCCAGCCCCCTGGCCCAGACCCAGGCAGCACAGCCCATCTTCACAGATGCCTCCATGGCGAGCTGTGCTCTCACACCAAAACGACTTCCATTCTCCAAGAAATAACACCAAGTAAGTATTCTGTGGCAAGGGAAGCATTTCCTAGTTTGAAAAGCAAAGCTACATTCACCCTCCCTTTCGTTTCTTTTTTGTTTAAAGATGATGAAATTATTTCCTAATGATCCAGTCGGCCTCATTTAAAAAATTTTTTTTCATGATAAGATTTTGCTATTGCAGCTAATTCTTTGAGTTTTTTAAGTTCCAACTAATCCTTTTATGCACAAAAAATCAAGGGGTGAATTTGAATACAAAGGAGAAAGAACACACGATGGTTTAAAAACAACTTTCTTGATACCAATCTACTTGAAATGGGGCTTCACGCAAATGAACCATCATGGGGGCTTTCTCAAAACACTGCATCCACGGCATGCACATGGGGCGGGGAAGAGGGCCTTTGTATCAGCTGTTCAGTCACTCACAATGAAAACCTGGGTCTGGCTATATTTGACATTGTCACCACCGAGAAGTTACTCACCCAATAACTTCATCAGGTCTGGCTCTGAGCGGGCATTCGGGACAGAAAGATGGGAAGGAAAAGGCAATAGAAAAGCCCCTCTCTACACACCTGAGAACCTCTGCTTGTGCATCACTTACAGGAGAGACCTGAAGTCACTTCTCAGAATTTGTTTTTGTTTTCTTCCTTGGATAAAATTATAATTAAATCTCAAATTAAGAGGTTAAAAAAAAAAAAACTGGGAAGGGGACGCCTTGAGTCGGCATGAATGGGATGGAGAGTAGAAAGGTTACAAAGAGTAGAGATGGGTAAGGAGGGAGAAACAGGATGTGTACAGCACCTGAGGATGCCACAATAAGGGGCAGAGAGACTGAGATCCGCAGAGCCTTCGAAGACATCACTTTAAGTTAACTGATGTTCCGCAGCACTGTTTATAATAGCCAGGACATGGAAGCAACCTAGATGCCCATCAGCAGACGAATGGATGAGGAAGCTGTGGTACATATACACCATGGAATATTACTCAGCCATTAAAAAGAATTCATTTGAATCAGTTCTAATGAGATGGATGAAACTGGAGCCCATTATACAGAGCGAAGTAAGCCAGAAAGATAAAGACCATTACAGTATACTAACACATATATATGGAATTTAGAAAGATGGTAACGATAACCCTATGTGCAAAACAGAAAAAGAGACTCCGATGTATAGAACAGACTTGTGGACTCTGGGAGAAGGCGAGGGTGGGATGTTTCAAGAGAACAGCATCGAAACACGTATATTATCTAGGGTGAAACAGATCACCAGCCCAGGTTGGGTGCATGAGACAAGTGCTCCGGCCTGGTGCACTGGGAAGACCCAGAGGGATTGGGTGGAGAGGGAGGTGGGAGGGGGGACCGGGATGGGGAATACATGTAAATCCATGGCTAATTCATTTCATGTATGACAAAAACCACTGCAATGATGTAAAGTAATTAGCCTCCAACTAATAAAAATAAATGAAAAAAAAAAAACAGTAACAACAAAAGCTAAAATAAATATGGCAAATAAAAAAAAAAAAAAAGAAAAGTTAACTGATGTTCATGATGACAGGCGTGAATCACTTAGAAAAGGATGCTGTCGCTGCTGCTGCTAAGTCGCTTCAGTCGTGTCCGACTCTGTGCGACCCCATAGATGGCAGCCCACCAGGCTCCTCTGTCCCTGGGATTCTCCAGGCAAGGACACTGGAGTGGGTTGCCATTTCCTTCTCCAATGCATGAAAGTGAAAAGTGAAAGTGAAGTCACTCAGTCGAATACGACTCTTAGCGACCCCATGGACTGCAGCCTACCAGGCTCCTCCGTTCCTGGGATTTTCCAGGCAAGAGTACTGGAGTGGGGTGCCATTGCCTTCTCTGTTAGAAAAGCTAGTGTTCTGCTAAAGTTCTGGGTTCTCAGAATGTGTGTACAAAATAATGTGCATGGAAAAAAATCCAGCAAAATGGTTAAAGTTTAGAGGTCCCAATGGTGATTGTGCACAGAAAGTCTAAATTAAAGCTGGAAAGTGTCCTAATGTGGGGAAGAGCTGATTCTATACCAGTGTCAGATAAACGGGGTGCTACTGCAACCGTAACAGGCATGCTCAAATCCTCACCAAGATCCCTTAAGTTTCAGGTTTTAGCTTTCAGGAATTTTTAGACTGAGTATGCAGTGTGAACTGTCCATTTAAGCAAAACAAGGCTGCTTTGTTAGGCAATATCTTATTTATAGCCTTTTTTTTTTTTTTTTTTAAAGGGGACCATTGAGGAGCAGTCGAAGTCCCTCTTACTTTCAGGGCACAGAGAGGGGACCTTGGCCTGACCACCACAGAGACAATGACTTCCTAGAAACCACTGGTTTCAGGTCTTAACCAACTAACATTCCAGCTTAAAAGCTCTTCTTCCTGCAATGCTCTCATTTCTTTTTTTTTTTTATTAGTTGGAGGCTAATTACTTTACAATATTGTAGTGGTTTTTGTCATACATTGACATGAATCAGCCATGGAGTTACATGTATTCCCCATCCCGATCCCCCCTCCCACCTCCCTCTCCACTCGATCCCTCTGGGTTTTCCCAGTGCACCAGGTCCGAGCACTTGTCTCATGCATCCAACCTGGGCTGGTCATCTGTTTCACCCTAGATAATATACATGTTTCAATGCTGTTCTCTTGAAACATCCCACCCTCGCCTTCTCCCACAGAGTCCAAAAGTCTGTTCTAATGTTCTCATTTCAATGCAAAAGACAGTCCGGATCCAGAGGTCTGTATCCAGCATGGATGAGGATTAAAAAAGGCCCAAGAGCTGCTAGAATAAATGTCAGCATTCAAAACTCAATGCATGCACTTGACTTACAGGAGAACTGCTAAAGATCACACATGGAGCTTCTTCATTCTTTGTTCGTATTTCTAGCAAGCTGGATTATCTACTTTGGGAGGGATATAAATGGACTCTAATGACAGCCGTGAGTAGAAGCGGCAGGAGTGCACAGGTAAGAAACAGACAAGAGGTAAAAAGCAGCCACTAGCACTCAAAGTCCAATGACAGCGAGCAGCTTCACAGAGAACAGACCTCAGTACCTCCCGTGGCCTCATGCCGGTGCAGCTCAGCTCAGAATAAGGAGCCTGGATTGTTAAGAGAAGGTGAGAGGCTTTTCAGTGTCCTTTGCCTATGGAATTTGGAAGCAGGGAAGCATGCCAGACCTGCAGAAGACTCTAGTCCAAAACAGAACATGTTTGGGCTCTTCAAGGGCTATGTTTTGACCAGCTGAAAAACTGTCTGGGGCAACCTCATGACTGACGAAGATCCTGTATAAACAGGGAGTACCCTTGTTGTCACATCATGCATTTTAAATGAATGAACGCAAACGGCAGATCAAAACCTGAGTGTGAGGACAACAGCAAGGAAATCTAAATGAGAAACCTAGTTGTTTCAAATGTTTGGTGTTCTTAAGACTTCGAAAGCATGCTTGTTTCTCTCAATTATTCCAGAGTTGGGGATGGTGCATAATTCAAATTAAGCTATTAGTACTTCTTTCCCTTAGAAGACTGGCTTTTCTTGGCTTACCAGGAAGGGAAGAGGGCTATCAGGCAGTCCCTGGAGCTACAAGTTATCTTAAGAACAAAGAGGAGCCCTCCGTGGGCTGGGGACCTACCTGTTGAGACCCTGGCAGTAGCCGATGTCTGGATTCCGCCAGGAGAAGGCGAGCAGGACGTTGCGCAGCTTCTGAATGCCTTCCGAGGTGGGGCACGAGTAATGCTTGTTGTTGGGCAGAGTCCGCAGCAGGTCCAGCTCTATCTGCTTGGAGGCCGGGTTCTGTTTCTCCAGCGCCTTCTGAAGCAAAGTCTGGAAGTAACCGGGCTGAGTGCTGTCCTTGAACTTCTTGATGTGACGGTCCACACACCACTTCCACACCTTGGAACGGTGCTCGTGTGGGATGCCCGCACGGACCAGGTTCTTTAATTCTGGGGAACACGTCATCTCCCTGTTCACTGTGCTCGCAAAGTAGTTTTCCCACTTGACCCCAGTGGAGACCTCCTGGTTTTCTGTGAGGTAGAGGGTCTTCAGGTCCAATGCCCGGACTTTGGCGACCAACTTCTCTTCCTCGTCATCCTCTGGGACAGTCTTAAACCCATAAATGTCATATTCACTGTTGAGAAAAAACAAAACGAAAAGTTAAGTGATGCAATCTGGCAAAAAGGTCAGTGAAACATGAAAAAGAACCTAGAAATCTACTCATATCTAAATGGCACTGTGATATATGACCAGGCATTTCAATTCAGTGAGGAAATAATTAACTTCTCAATAAATAACTGGTGAGAGTAACTGACTATCTGTATGGAAAAAACTGCTTTAGATCCCTTCTTGATACTACACAGGCAAAAAAAATAATCAACTCTAGATGGTCGAAGCACTCAATGTAAAAAGCACAGAAAATACAAGCAAGACTGCAAACACAAGGCTGATAAATTTGGCTACATTAATATATTAATACATGTGCATGTATGTTTATATAGCATACATATACACATGCATAACACTTATGCTCAAAAAATACCATTTTAAAAAGTAAAAAGACAAGGGAGAAAACATTACATTAGTAAGATACTAGGGATGAAAAAGAATTAAAGCTGTGGTAGGCAGAATAATGGCCCCCAAAGACGTCCCTGGAATCTGTGAATATGTCACATTTAGTGGCAAGATGTACACCACGTGTGTAATTACAGCTATGGCCCTTAAGACAGCGAGGTGATCCTGGATGTCCCAGGTGGGACCACAGTAATCACAGGAGCCCTTAAAGTGGAAGAGGAAAGTAGGAGAGTGGACCAGAGAGATGTGACAAAGGAAGAAGACTCAGAGGGATGTGAAGTGGGACAGGGCTTGGACCCACAGTTGCTGGCTCTGAAGATGGAAGAAGGCAGCCACAAGCCAAGGAAAACAGGTGACCTCGAGGAGCTGGAAATGGCCACACTTGATGACCAGCAAGAAAACAGAGACCTAGCCCTACAACCAGAAGGAACTGTATCCTTCCAACAACTTCAGTAAGCAAGGACACAAACTATCTCCTAGAACCTCCAGGAAGGAATGCAGCCCTGCTGATACCCTGATTTCATCCAGCAAGACCATGCTGGACTGCTGACCTACAGAACCGTTACACAGTAAATACGTATCACAAACTTAGCAACTTAAAACAATGATGGTGATGGCAGTCACAGGAAACCAAAAGGAGGCCTTTCACACACTGCTGCTGAGTCCGTAAACCTGTAGGAGCACTCTGAAAACCGGATCCAGCAGAGCTGAAGATAAGCACATCCAACGCTTGAGAAACTCTCACGCCAACACATGGACACATGGATACACATACCATGATGTCTAGTGCATCACAGTTTGTAAAAAGAAAAAATAGAACTACTCCATAAGTGTCTACCACGAGACAAAGGAATAAAAAAGTGATAGACAATGAAGCTGTGTAAGACAGATAAAAAAACTGCTCAGGGGCTACATAAATCCATCTGTATAATTTCAGAAAACCATGTTGAAAGAAATAAGTCACAAAAAGGTATGAATATGGTAGGATTAGCATATTAAAAATTATCTTCAACTAGAGGTACACATTGAAGTGCTGAAAGCAGAAATGACATGTCTGGTCCTTGCTTTAAAATATATCAGAAAAAAAATTTTGGAGGGGGAGAATAAGAAGAAACAAGATTGGCAAAATGTTAATAATTGTTAAATTATTGGGTAACAGTTACATATGGGGGTGTCATATGATGCTACTACTTTGAAATTCCATAATGAAAAGTTAAAAGTAACTCAATATACACAGTTATCATTCTACTTATACAGAAAGTTTGAAAACATACAACAGATGGGCAGATAGCTGGGCTCTGTCCTCATGAGAGTCAGCCCCCAAACCCCACTCCCGGAACACAGCAGGAGAGCACAGCGTGGGGAACCTGGCTGCCCAGACTGGGGTCCTGTCCTGGCCACTCCCTGGCTGTGTGACCTGGGCAAGTTACATCACCTCCCTGACCCCAGCTTCGGCATTTGCCGAGGATAAAAACACCCTCCTCACTAAGTGTTAAACATGAGCAGTGGCACAGCTCCTGGCACACAGACCTCAGTAGTTCTGTGACAATGGCATTGGTTGCATTCCAATAGCATATTTTTTACCTGTCATCTGAGTAGCATAGACAAGGCAGGCAGGCCAGTGCTGTAAGCACAGAGAAGGGAAAGAGCAGGTCAGGCTGAGGCAGGGCTTCCCTTGGGACCAGGGTGGGGCAGGAGAAGCCAGGCATAGTGGGGGCAGAAACAGGAGGAGACTGGACTGAGTCCATTCACAGACTTCTCCTGCCAATATTTCATGAAACTCATTTTTTAGAAACTAGGATATGAAGGTTCTTAATCCAAGATACATCACAGGCTGCCAGACTCCGTGATTTTCTGAAAAACATATGCAATACTGTGTGTGTGTCCAACCGCATTTTGGGGCCAAGTGTCTCCATGGCTTGAATCAGACCCTCAGTGAGTTCTGAACCACTGGATCAGGTTACCCAAGTGTGCTTCCCTTACAGAGAAGGCCCAGTTACCCACTTAGGGGCTCCTTTGCTTTCAAACTCCCCATGAGTGCAGTTGTACCCATGGGTCTCTGGAGAAGATTCTACTCTCGGAGGACTGGCTCCTCTTATAGCAAGACTGGCTAGCATCCACAGTGGCACGGTACATGCAAGAAAAGTCTTGAAATCAAAAGACCTGGGCTGAATCCCAGCTCTGTTACTTGATTATGACAGCAAGATTGATGAGATTACCTGTTCTAATGACTGACAGCCCTTGTCATGAGCATCGAAGGAGACATGGAGAACTGTGTAAAGCTCTTGGTGAGTGGCTACTGTGCTTAAAGCAGGGCTTGAGAAATGGGTCCCACCACCCCCAGCAGTCGCGAGCATCTTTACCTGACAAGATGAGGTTTAATGAACGCTTGCTCTGGATGCTCTGGACTCTCAACCTGCAGAGCGTCCTCCAGCAGCTGGGCTATGACATCCCGAGCAGGCCCCTGTTCTTCTGAGCAAACTGGGGTCTTCATTTCTTGGAGCAGTATCAAGTATTTGCTTTCTATCTGGCAGAGCTTGGCTTCCAGGCTAGAATACTGCAGAGAATGTCGGAGTTACCTCCTTCCAGACAGACACACAGGAAGAGCAATCCTCAAGTACCTCAAGCAATCAACGAATGACAAGCCCAGAACCACTAGGAAGTGAGCCAGAGAGAGACTATACCCCAGGCAAGAGATGAATTTATGCCACAGGCCACTTGTCTTATCTAAATGGTCCACTGAACCCCCTCTTCCCTCTGTGGAAGTACTGGTAATAAAGTAATAAGCACAGAAGTACTGGTAATAAGGCTTTTGCATGTCAACACATGAGTTCTGGACAGCAGAAACCAGGCCACACACTCATTACTGAGGTCAAGCTGAGCACGACTTGGCAGACAGGCCCCAAGCAGCCATCTTATGGTATTTCAATACTTTCCTACTAGGATGCTATGACCCAGCACCAGCTCCCATCTGCTACCTTATCAGACAAATCAACACATCCCTCGAAAACATGCAGGAACAAGGCCTGGGAAGATGCTCTGGGGACTGTTCAAAAGGTATATGAGGCATTTAATAGCTGCCGACACAGTGTCACTGAATTTCATTTGATTATCACTGGAGTATCTGCGATGTCTGTATACTTCGCAAAGCCCTCTTTGAAAGTGAAATGAAAGTGAAAGTCACTCAGTCGTGTCCAACTCTCTGTGACTCCATGGCCTATACAGTGCATGGAATTCTCCAGGCCAGAATACTGCAGTGGGTAGTGTATCCCTTCTCCAGGGGATCTTCCCAACCCAGGGATCAAACTTGGGTTTGCATCAAACCTGCATTGCAGGTGGATTCTTTACCAGCTGAGCCACAAGGAAAGCCCAAGAATACTGGAGTGGGTAGCCTATCCCTTCTCCAGCAGATCTTCCTGGCCCAGGAACTGAACTGGGGTCTCCTGCATTGCAGGCAGATTCTTTACCAACTGAGTTATCAGCATAGTCACATCTGACTCTTACACTAACCCTATCAGATTTAGAGAAGGCATCATGCTTACCACCCCCACTTATAGACACGGAACTGACTCACACAACTCAATAGCATAAATCAAAAAATCCAAACAACCTTAATTTGGGGGACCTCAGAACTGTGTCTCTGACAAAGAGACCAGTTATATATCTATATATTATATATATCTGTCTCTATAAAGTTCATTACACCTGTGAATAAAACCCACATCTCAGGGCATTTCTACTGTCTTCATAACAAAGTGAAATTAAACAGTGCTATCACTATATACATTTTAAGTACATTTTGGTATCAGTAACCATATCCCTTCAAGCATGGGGCTTGAACTGATTTGAAAGCATGTCCATTTTTTAATTGTTTCTGAATCACATCACCTCCCACCTGAGGACAGAATGTACGCACCCTGACCTACCTTTGCCATCAGATCCCTCTCTCTTCTTTCTGCATTTCTCCGTAGAGCTGCAAGTTCCAAGATTTCCTTATTTAGAAATTTATTTTGGGTTTTGTACCCCTGTAGATTATCCTGTTGGGAAAAAAAAAAGTTCATCAACTCACACTGGTTGAATGTTGATTATCTTTGATAATTAATATTTTGCTGCCTTACCAATCAAATAACCCTTTCTGAAAGTGAAAGTTGCTCAGTCGTGTCTGACTCTGCAACCCCATGGACTATACAGTCCATGGAATTCTCCAGGCCAGAATACTGGAGTGGGTAGCCGTTCCCTTCTCCAGGGGGTCTTTCCAACCCAGGAATCGAACCAGGGTCTCCTACATTGCAGGTGGATTCTTTACTAGCTGAGCTACCATGGAAGCCCAAAGGGGACGCTGCGGCTAGCCCTTTCTAAGTTAGAGCAAGTTCTAAGGAACTGAAAATGATTATTAGGCACTTTCTGATTAAGCTTTATGGCCACCCTTGGCAGAAAAGTAGGGACCACTGCATAATGAAGGAGATGGGGAAATAAATTTACTTGATGGTGGTGATTTTTCTCAACTGACCTTAGAGAAGTAAGTAGGACTTATGCCCTAAATCTATGCAAATATTTTATCTACCCACATACACTGAGGTGGCACAAAAGGTAATGCCTTATATTCATCTTGTTTTTTAACTAGAGAAACTGAACAAACTTTCTGTCCATTCTCATTTTTACTTATCCAGTTTATGTAGAAAAGGCTATACGTATATACAATGTTCTTAAGAATTACACTTAATAATGAATACCTATAGCCTACAATGTATAAGGCACTTAAGAGATTATGTTCCTCAATTTTTTTTACATTAAAAAGATTTCAAACTTATGGAAAAGTTGGAAGTACAATAAACACAATATACCCTTCACCTAAATTTGCCAGTGGTTAACTCTTGACACATTTGCTTTATGTTTTAAGAGAACATCATAAGGACTTTCCTGGCGGTCCAGTGGTTAAGAATCTGCCTGCCAAAACAGGGGACATGGGTTCAAGCCCTGGTCCGGGAAGATTCCACATGCCACAGAGCAACTAAGCCCATGGGCCACAACTACGGAGCCTGCGCACTCCAGAGCCCATGCGCCACAACAGGAGAAGCCACCACAGTGAGAAGCCCGCGCACCACAACTAGAGAAAGCCCACGTGCAGCCACGGAGACCCAGCACAGTCAAAAATAAAGAAGAAAAAGGAGAGAACGTCACAAGCTAGTGACAAGTTCACCAGGTCCAACTCAAAGTTCAGATCTGGCAGAAGCAGATGCTGTGTGTTTGCTTCAGCCCTTGAAACTCTGAGCAAAGGAAGGGAAAGGTGATCTTTGAGACAATTCGGGCAGTGATTTCTAAATGCTCCCTACCAAATCCAGTCTTTTACAAATGTGTTTGTCCCCTACTCTTGTGTGAAGTTCCCTAGGAATCTCTGATCCCTCAACCTCAGTAGGAACTATTCATGATAGTTCCAAGGGCGGTCAACGACCACCTTGGTCCAAGGCCAAGGCAGTCAAGAAAGGCCCTGACCTTTGTGCTGTCCCAGGTCAGAGACCACGGCCCCTCCCCAGAGATGTGTCCAGAGATGCCCACATCTCCAAACTGGGAACCACCGTGGCGGCATACAATTTCCCTTGAAAACACAGAAGAATGAAAATGTTCCCACAGTCCCTATAATCGCTAACACTTACAGAGCAGCTAAGCATGGCAGAGACCCTCAATCTCACTTAAACTCACAACCCTACTCTTTGGCAACTGCTCATCATCTCTGTTTCCTAAATGAAGAGCTGTCACAGGCAGGCCGTGCGATGACTAAGTGTGGGTCTGGGAGCCAGGCCTGCTGGGCCCCTGGCCAGGGTGCTTGGCCTCCAACTCCCACCTGAGCTCTGATCTGCATCACATGTTCTCAGTCTCAGCAAGACCACATGGCATGAAAAGGACTGGAGACAGCCACTGTCAGATCCTGAAGGAGGTCCACAGACTTCCTTTTCTGACCTAAATCATGACGTTCTCCTTTCTTCTGGTGTCTGGAAGCGCTCGTATTTGGAAACAATGAGCAAACATCACCAAACGGCAGGCTGACTGAAGGAAGGTGAGCTAGAGGGCAACTGAAGAATACACTGGACTGTAATGGGCAAAGACTGGGCAGTACAAGGTGGGTCGGGGGAGCAGGACACATGTCTTTGAGTTAAACTTCGTGCTTGAGTCTAAGGAAGTCCTGACAGTGCACCTCAAGGATTCTTTCTCTAGAATGACAATCACAGTCTTCACTTAAGACTCTAGCAGGGGGACTTCCCTGGTGGTCCAGTGGTTAGGAATCTGCCTTCCAACCCAGAGGACCAGGGTTCCACCCCGGTCAACGACCTAAGATCCCACATGCAGTGGGGCAACTAAGCCCGCACGCCACAGCTACTGAGCCCACGCTCTGGAGCCACAAGCTGCAATGAAAAATCTCGCACACTGCAATTACGACCTGATGCAGCCAAAAAAATAATGATTAAAACAAAACTCTATGGGATACCAGGTGTTCTGTGAAGGCTTTACATGGACTATCTCTTTAAACCCTTACAAGACTCTATGAGGTGAGTGCCATTTCGCAGATGAGGTGAACCAGCCTGCCTCAGGTCAGAGGTCATTAGTGGTAAGGCTGGGTTTGAATATAGCCAAGTTTGGCTTCAGAGCCCAGGCTCAATCTAAACCACCTCACCATACTGGGCCACATCCCCTTCCTCATTGGTGTTTATTATAGTTGTGATTCTGCTTTTTTCATTTTCATGCTTTCTAAACTAAACTCTGAGCTCCAGGAAGACAGAGACTGCTTTGTGCAGAGTACAACGCCCACCCCATGGCCGGCTGGCTGAATGAATGAGTACTAAGCAGGAAAAGCTGTATGTATGAAGTTATTCATATAACAGCAAATCACAGGAAAGAAGAGAGAGGCTGATTAAATAATGATGACAGAATCAAAAGGTGGATAATGTGGAATACCCCCCGCATGCCCCGACATACACCGTGGTTCCACTCGCTGGTAAAACGTGCTCCCCTGCAGAGCACCACTCACTGCAGCCTGGAAACCAAACACCCTGGTGCTTCTCTCTAAACACTACAAAAACAGAGATGCTTGCAAAACATAAAATTCAGTTGAGGGACTTCCCTGGTGGTCCAGTGATTAAGACCCCGCCCTCCCAATGCAGAGGGCCTGGGTTCAATCCCTGGTCAAGGAACCAGGTCCCACAGGCTGCAATTCAGAGTTCATAGAGGGCGACTAAAAACCCCATGTGCTGCAATGAAGGCTGAAGAGCCCATGTGCCACAACTAAGGCCTGGCACACCCAAATAAATACAAATAATGAATAATAGAAAAAATTCAGCCAACCTTAAATAACAGACTGTAAAAAGGGATGTAAAAAAAAGACTATAAAAAGGGACTCTAAAAAAAAATGTACGAAAAGGATGTATATTTAAGGTTGGGTACACTCTAGCTTGCATGTATATACAAAACCAACTTTTACTGGCAACACTAACCAAAACCTTTTTTTTTTTTTAACACGGCTATTTTTGTAGCAGTTATAATTATAAAGTAAAGAGATTGAGGGCTTTGGTGCCGCTATTGCCCTTTTGGTTTTTCTCACCAGTAAATCTTTCTGGCCTCACATTTCTACTGGGTGCTGTCCCTAAGAAGTGGTGACCAAAGGAGGCCACAAACATTCCAACAAAGTCGCCTATTATTCCAGAGTTTTACTTTCCATTTACGAGTTATCTTTAAAATCCAGGCATGACTAACAGTCATTGACACTGCATGACAGGGACTGCTAGGCATGAAGCAGGCTCAGTAACAATCCCAAAAGTGGCAGGCCTTTGCCCTTCAATGATAAACCACATTTGGGGACAAAATATCCTCAGTGCCACGTTAACTGCAGCTGGGTGAGGAAGACTTTGGGGCCAGCTGGGACCGACAGTTGCAGATCTGTGTGGGGACAGCTCGGGTCTGGGTTATACCAAATGCCCCTGTCCTAGGGGACAGGTCTCTACCTGAAACTTCTCCAAATTGAGAACTGATGGCAGGAAAACTTTGGGGGCCTTCCCGGTGGCTGGCTGACAGTGTCCCAATGCTTTTCAGCTCTCCCCTGGGGCCAGGCAGGTTTCTCCACAGGACAGTCACCTGCCCCCTGCCTCGCAGCGCTCTCTGTGCTCATCTACTGGTCACCACCCCAGGTGTGACAGGGAGAGCCACCTCTGGTCAGAAACCAGCCTCCCGTCCTCAGCGGCAGCCCAGAGAGGCACACGGGGAGGAGACTCTGCCCTCCCTGCTGGGCGTCAGGACGCCCCTGCCTTAGGCGTGGGGGCAACTGACTCTGTGAAGGCCCTTCTCCCAAGTATGCTGGGAGCCAGGGTCCGCTTCTCCACCTGAGCCCATGCCAGCAGTCAGGAACGGTGCTCCCTCACCTGGCCTCCACGGTTTGCCAAGGCGGCTGTGCCGGTGACAGTCCATGCACAGAGGAGGCAAGAAACAGCCGCCAGAGGTTATATGGAATAAAGAAGTTCTAAGGGTGTATAAATAGAGAAGTCACAGCTGCAAGGGAGGGGAAAGATCTGAAACTGTTCTGAGCTATGGTGACATCGATGGACTCAGACTTTCATTTTCCACGGAAGCTTCTTAGGAAACTAATAGTTATCTGACTAGGAGTCTTGTGACACTTTTTTTTTTTTTTAAAGGGCACAGCTGCTTTGCTGTCACGCCAAACTAGCTCACCGAGGCCAGGTGCTCTAGAGTGACATCAATGGACAGACTGTTAGCTGATCTGGGGTTTCTTGCTCCCATAACAGGCACCCAGGCCCTGCTCTTACTTTCAGCCAGTCCAGTTCCAGCTGGTCCCGGCCCGCGGGGGCGGCCGCGGGAGAGCCGGGCACACAGGTGGGGGAGGACGCGCTGCCCTCGCACTCGCTGAGCTGCCGGGAGAGCTTCATGATGACCTCGTCCTTGGCCTGGATGGTCTCCATCAGCATCCCCAGCCGCTCGCTGAGCTCACCCACTTTGCTCTTCAGCATCCTCACTTCCTGCTGAAGACTGTCCTTCTCCTGGTTGAACCTCTCCAGCTGGTTGGTGAGGCCCAGAATCTGGTCGTCCTTCTGATGCAGAAGCCCCAGTGTGTCCTGCGGGACCCCGTCACAGAGGCGGCTGCTTGTGAAGTACTTGTCGTACTGGGAGGACCGCACCGTCTGCTGCAGCAGCCGCACGAGCTCCTGGGAGCCAGGGAAGACGGATCAGGGAGCAGGGATGGGAGGAGAAACAGAGGTCATGACAAGTCTACACGGAGCAACCATTAGAGTTTGAGCAAATGCAGAAATCTAATGGAAATACTTTAATACCCAACTTCCTCTTGAAGGATCTCAAAAAATAGAGAAGGAAAAATATTTGTTCCATAAAGGCTGTCTGCAGAGAACAATGATAGGAAGCAGGAAATGGTGGACAGGCAGACAGCAATTAGCAATGGTTCCCAGTGAACATTCATCCATATTAAAACATCTGAGCTCTAAGTTCACTGATCTGCTGAGGAATTAAGTATAATTAGGTGTGATCAGCTCAAAAAAAGCTGCTGTTTAACAGGATGTGGAAACTCTTAAAAAAACTTCACAGGGCTTGGGCTGGAATTACGCTCAGAGAGTGGGCGAGGTGCAGACAACACGCTCCCCAGTTCACTCTGAGGATCTCATGCTCCTCAGAATTTCAAGTATCTGTGAGTAAACGACCAAGCAGAGCAGTAGTGCCTACGTCGGTGGCCATGGCAACACATAACTCTTAGGGGAAACGCACCTTCTGGGAAATAACAGAGTCAGAGAAACAAGAGAGCCGGGTTTTTCTCCTCCGGTCCCTGGCCTGCTGATGTGAGATATGATACAAACGTTGAGGAAAGAGAATTACCTTCTGACTGGCTAAGTCCTTTCTTAACCTTTCTAGCTCTTCCTGCTGGTTCTGGACAAGCAGCTGCATCTCAGAGGCCGGCTTGCTGGTGCTGCCACTGCCTGATGGCACCTCAGGTGAAGGGTCACCAATACTGTGGCGATTTTTGTATGATCCAATCATTTCTTTCAAAGGGCGCTTTCCTTTATAGGGAATACGTCCGAAATCAAAGGGAAATCCTGAGCCAGTTATTCCTACATAAAAATAAAAGCTTGTTTAAGTTCAGCCCCGATCTTCCTTTAGGAAATTCCAGTAAAATACATTAAAATACATTAATATCATCGTCTACGGAGTTCTGCGTGCATCACTGTGCTCCTACCTCGTTCCTGATGACAACCAAACTTAGAACCAAAGATGATCTTTCACGTGATCACTCTTAAGGAAAACTTTCTCTATTTGATGGCTCAATTTTTGCATTGAAAGTGTTAGTCACTCAGTTGTGTCTGACTCTTTGTGACTCCATGGACTATAGCCCACCAGGTTCCTTTGTCCATGGAATTCTCCAGGCCAGAATACTGGAGTGGGGATTGCCATTTCCTTCTCCAGGAGATCTTCCCTACCCAGGGATCGAACTTGGGTTTCCTGCACTGCAGACAGACTTTTTACCAACTGAGCCACCAAGGGAAGCCAAGAACGTTTTCCCTGACTAGGAACTGAACCTGGGCCGCGGTGGTGAAAGCACTGAACTCTAACCACTAGACCACAGGGGAGGATTAATGTTTAATGCTCAATTTTTGCATTAAGACAGGTGAAAAAAAAGTTAGACTGTACATCAATACTAATGAGGAATTTATGACAAAACTGTACTATACCTCTCTCAAGATTCTTTTGTAATGTTAAGTCTGTCTCCCCAAAGATCCGTTCTAAGTCTATATGTTCACATCACCATTTTCCAATTTCAGGTACTTTGAGGACCAAAGAGAACAGAGACACAGACCAGGGAAAAACAGGGCTGCTCCAATTTCCTTCAGCATCAGCATCCTGAGCACAAAGTATCCCTTCCCCTGGGCACCTCAGTGAGAGCAGGGCCTGCATCTACAAGGTTAACAGGCAGGACTTAGAGATACACTAGGGATTCCTGGCTGCTTGCTTTCTGCTCATCTGTATTTACTAAAAAAGGAAAAAAACAAAAAAACCCACAAAAAACCCAAGTTTATGTTTTCTTAATTGTAAATCCATTTTATTCTCTTTCTTAAAAATACTGAGATAGCCAAATAAATTTTAGTGTAGATGGATCTGAATATATATTAAATATGTAAAGAAGAGACCCAAGAGTACATACTACACAGATTTAATTTCTATAAATTTAGAAAGCAAGCAAAACAAAACCTACGATGTTAGGAGTCAGGATGGTGATTGTGGGGTGGAGGGAGTGGGAGGTGATGCAGTCACTCGAAGGGGTCTCGGGATGGGGGCTGGCCCCTGGCACTCTCCTGTTTCTTCAAGTAAGTGCTGGCTACATGGATATGTTCACTTTGTGAAAATCCATCAAGCTATGCATTTCTGACTAGAGGGCTTTTCTGCATGTACAAAGATTAGCTTGTTGCTGCTGTTGTTGTTCAGTCATTAAGTTGTTTCCAACTCTGTGGGACACCACTGACTGTAACCCGTCAGGCTCCTCTGTCCTTGGGATTTCACAGGCAAGAATACTGGAGTGGGTTGTCATTTCCTTCACCAGGGTATCTTCCTGACCCCGGAATCAAACCCGCATCTCCTGCATTATAGGCAGATTCTTTACCACTGAGCCACCAGGGAAGCCCATGTGGTTAGTTTACTTCCCATGAGTAACATGGACAAGAAGCTGGTGGGCTGATTCCTGATTCACAGGAAATATCCAAGAATCAACAAGATAAAACTCAGACACATCTTTGTCTCTCTGTGTCTTTCACATGGGCTCCCTCTCAAAGGGCCAGGGGCTGAGCAGAGACTAAGAAGGCCGGGCCCTCCAGCAGTGCTGGCAGTTCACGCCTTGATCAAGTCACTAAGCCTCACTGATTCTTCCTTTCCAGTCTGCTACTGTGCACCCTTCCAGTTCATCCCTAGAGTCTCTAGGGGAAATCAGAACCAACAATATTTACCTCGAACAATCCAAATCCCCAGCCTCAATCCCTGTTCCTCCAGAGGCTTTCCCAGTTCACAAGGAGCCCCTCTACGGGATGCCCCCCACCTCCGCCCCGAGCTGTGCCACACGCTGGGTCACAAGGCATGCTCAGCTTGGCCATATCTTCACTACGTCACACTGGACCATATGCTTCCATGTGACCATCCTGCAGATCACAAGTGAACTCCCCACCAAAGCAAGTCATGGTGGTCCTTTCCCAGGGGACAGAAAAATATTTCCTTTAGTGAACATGTGCTCTCAGTAAAGATTTCCTAAAACTCTGCCTCCTATTCCTGCCAGCCCGTACCAGAAGCGAGCACAAGGAAGAATATCAAAATTATGTATTGTATTTTACATTTAAAACATTGATATTCCCTCCATGGATCCATGGCTGTGGGACCATGAAAGGCTGCTTAACAAAATGCTGATGGAGAAATGTATGAATGAGTCAGGCTGACACCTTAAATCCTGATGGACCTTAGTATCCCAGAAAGAGGGAAAACCAGATATTACATCTTCCAGATGTGATTCAACAAGAAATAAACAAAACCCTCAGCCCCTACTCCACCCAAAATACACTCTAGTCATAATTAAAAGTCAACCCTGAATCTGTGCAGGCCTCTGCTCTAGCGACCAGTGTATACAGGAAATACTATGTACAGTGTATACAGGAAATACTGTGTATAGTGTATACAGGAAATATTGCATACAGTGTAAACAGTGTATGAGCAAATACAGGGATGGAGGAGCCTGTTACATGACCTTACAGAAATACAATCAGCAAAATCCAGAATGTGGGCAATTCCTCAGCATGAAGACTCTGTGTCTTCAATAAGCAGGGCAAGGTAAATGTCAGACAAAAAGAAAACAGAGAGCTGTTCAGCCTGAAAGAGACCTAAAAAGACACACAACTAAACAAACTTGGGGCCCTGTTAGCACCTCATTTGCTCAAGCCAACTGCAAGCAATTACAGAACAACTGGAGAAGAAGACAGGTAGGACTAACTGTAGCCGTATTTAGGTTTAATGCTGAAGCTATGGTTCTTTTAAAGAATCATCTCTTAGATATACATACTAAAATGTTTACAGATGCAATGGATTAATATCTAGAATTTACTTTAAAATAACCCAGCTGATAGATGCCAGGAGGGGCAGGAGCTCAGAGAAGAAAGAAGCCAAAGCTGTGGAATATGACACTACATTTTCTACTTTTGTGTGCATTAACACATTTCTATAAATAGAAAGTTTTCTTTTTTTTTTTTTTAAACCAGTATTTCCGTAAAGAGCACCATGACTTCTGGATTTCCCATTTCCTGAAAAAGTCTCAGAACCATAGGACAGGACATTTATTTATTTCTAGTGACATCTCATTTTTAAGCTGTTATGTTTGTTTCCCACAGAGGGAACAGAACTCCCATTGGGCCTCATGCTCCTAGTGATACCTGTGACCAAAGGCTCTCCCACAGCATCAGAGGTTAACAGATGGCAGAGGCGAGAGCGACAGACAACAGGGACCACATCCATACCTTTGTTGCCTTCAGGGACCTGCTTCTTCCTTTCTTCCTGCATCATGGACTCCTCCAGTTCCTTAGGGCTCGGCTCTAGAAGCTCCCACTCTTCATTGGTGTAAAACACACTCCTCCGACTATCATTATGCCCTCTCCCAGGACGGAAAGAAGACATTGAATTTCTACTGGGACAAACAAAATGTTTAACTTTTTAAAAAATGGCAAAGCAAAATGTAATGTCACATATGGACATGAATTTGAGCAAACTCCAGGAGATACTGAAGGACGGAAGCCTGACATGCTATAGTCCATGAGGTAGCAAAGAGTCAGACATGACTTAGTGACTGAAGAACAGCAACAACAAATATCACATATATACGACAGGCAAAAACTAAAATCTGATTATAGCAAATGTTTGTGACGATATAGAGAAATGAGAACTCTCATACACTGCTGGCAGCACATATAAATTGGAACTATTACCAGGGAGAACAATTCAGCAACATACAGATAAATTGCAGAGGTTTTTACCCTAAGGCCCAACAACTCAGCAGGAAATTCTTCAACATGTGTCAAGGAGACACAAGCAAGAACATCCACTGCAGCACTGTTCATATCAGCAAAAATCCCAAACAACCTAAACATCTACTGACAAGAGGATAAATTAACTGTAGCATATTCATACAACCAAGTACTATACATCATAAAGTGAATTTGTTCATTCAATGAATATTAATTAAGTGCCTACTATGTGCCAGGCACTAAGTGTTTGGGATTTGCTAGTGAACAAATATTCTGGTCCTTGTGGAATGTACATTCTAAGATTACATGAAGCATATGGACAAATATTCTTTAAATGCTGAACGAGAAAAGAAAAAAACCAGAATGGCATGATTCATGTTACTTTTTAAATTTCAAGATAATACTACTAATAGACATCATTTATAGATACATACATATGTAGCAAAACTTTTAAAATCCACATAAGAATGATAATTATCAAATACAGAATACTGGTTACTTCCATGAAAGTCAAGAGGAGAATGAGATTGTGGAGACAAGAGAGGATTTGAGCTGTATCTGTAATGCTTTAATTTGTGCTTTTAAAAATGGAGCAGAAATATGACAATGTTACATAGTTTGGTAGTGGCTACCCAGGTAGTCAACTCACTACAATCTACACTTGCCTGTGTGATAAAATTATTTCATTAAAACTTCTAAAAACTAGGTTGGGATTTCTACTTCCAGTAAAGATGGGCTAAGAGGAACTAGATTTATAGTCATCTGAAACAACTGACAAACCAAACAAAACAGAGGAAACAATGATTCTCAGACACTCAGACATCAGGCTGCACGGGGCAGTGGCCCCTGAGAGGTGGAACACAAACAAGGCGAGCCCTTCCCCTGACCAAGGATAGAGCCTAGAGACTTCCAGCCCACAGTGCTGGCAGGGGTGCTCTGCCGTGAATTGATAAGACAGAGGTGGGACTCCCAAGACAGGTGGAGTTCAGAGGGCATAGTACTGGAGAGAAGGCTGTACAGAGGGCTACAGAAACGTCAGAGGGTTCCTAAGTCTCCAGCTGAGTAGTATCAGGCTTGTGTGTAAGAAAGTTACCTGTGACTGGGGAAAGAACTCCCTACAGGAGCAGAAGGAACTATCCCTGAGGCTCATACAGGGCCGGGAATACTGCAAAGCCCCACCAGCCAGAGTGGAATCTCCTGCGGCATCAGGTAGAGTACTCAGGAAAAGGTTACTGATGTTGTCCCTGGACTAAAGGCTGTTCTTATATTACTGAAAGAGCTTAAACATGAACTTCAGAAGTTTTAAACTGTTTCTGAATAATTAAGCTACATTCCAGAACAAAGCTTAAGAATGTATGTAGGACTTCCCTGGTGGTCCAGTGGTTAAGAATCCACCAATGCAGGGGACATGGGTGCGATCCCTGGTCTGGGAAAATCGCCCATGCCAAGGGGCAAGGCGCCACAACTACAGAGCCCCAGAGCCTAGAGCCTGTGCTTTGCAGCAAGAGAAGCCACCATGAGAAGCCTGGGCACCACAGCTAGAGAGCGGCCCCCACTCGCTGCAACTAGAGGAAGCCCACACACAGCAACGAAGACCCAGCACAGCCACAACTAAATAAGTAGACAAAAGATACATGTATGTAGGAACACATACACAAAAAATCTAGCACCCAGGTAAAACTCATCATATTGACACTCAATAATAAAAAAAAAATTATCAGGCCTGCAAAGAAGTAGGAAAATAGAACTCATTTTAAGGAGAAAAATCAATAAACAGACTCAGAAATGACAAGTAATAAAATTAGTAGAAAAGAATTTCAAAAGTTATTAAAACTGTTTCCCCATGTTTGAGAAGCTAGAAGAAAAGCTAAACATGTTAAATAGAGATATGAAAGATGTTTACAAAACCCAAATCAAAACTTCTAGAGATAGAGGAAAACATAAGCAGAACAATCTGTGACATAAATTGCAGCAATATTTTTTTAGGTCCACTTCCTAGAGTAATGGTAACAAAAGCAAAAATAAACAAATGGAACATAATTAAACTTAAAAGGCTTTGCACAGCAAAGGAAACCATACACAAAATGAAAAGATAACTTACAGAATGGGAGAAAATATTTGCAAAGAATGAAACTGACAAGAGATTAATTTCCAAAATATACAAACAGCTTACAGTTCATACAGCTCAGTATTTTTAAAAATAACAACACAAACAGAAAAATGGGCAGAAGACCTAAATAAGACATTTCTCCAAAGAAGGCATACAGATGGCCAACGGGCACATGAAAAGATGCTCAACAGTGCTAATTATTAGAGAAATGCAAATCAAAACCACAATGAAGTATCACCTCACACCAGTCAGAATGGCCATCAACAAAAAGTCTATAGATAACAAATGCCAGAGAGGGTATAGAGAAAAAGGAACCTTCCTTCACTGTTGATAGGAACATAAATTGGTGCAGCTACTATGGGAAACAGTATGCAAGTTCCTTCAAACACTAAAACTAAAGTGACCACATGATCCAGCAATCCCATTCCTGGGCATATATCCAGAAAACATGAAAACTCTAATTCAAAAGATACATGTACCCCAATGTTCACTGCAGCACTATTAACAATAACCAAGACATGGAAGCAACCTACTAAATGCCTTTCAATAGATGAATGGATAATGATGTGCTGTGCAAACATACATACACATACACACACACACACACACACACACACATACGGCTTCCCTGGTGGCTCAGTGGTAAAGAATCCACCTGTAATATAAGAGCCGCAGGAGATGTGGGTTTGATCCCTGGGTCAGGAAGACCCCCTGGAGGAGAGCATGGCAACCCACTCCAGTATTCTTGCCCGGAGAATCCCAAAGACAGAGGACCTGGTGGGCTACAGTCCATAGGGTTGCAAACAGTCAGACACAACTGAAGCCACTTGGCACACCCATACACACACACACACACACAATGGAATATTACTCAACCTCAAAAAAAAATACTGTCACTTGCAGCAACATGTTTGAACTTAAAAGATTATCATACTAAGTGAAGTAAGTCAGACAGAGAAAAACAACTATCATATGATATCATTTATATGTGGAATCAAAGAAACTAACACAAATGAACTTATTTATAAAACAGAAACAGACCTACAGGCATAGAAAGCAAACTTAAAGTTATCAAAGGGGAAAGGAGGTGGGAAGGGATAAATTAGGAGTTTGGGATTAACATATACACACTACTGTATATAGAATAAACAAGGACTGACTGTATAGCACAAAGAACTATATTCAATTTCTTATAATAACCTATAATAGAAAAGAAACTCAAAAAAGAATATAGAACTAAAACACTTCACTATACACCTGAAACACAACATTGTAAATCAATTACACTTCAATTTTTAAAAATCTAGAGATAAAACTATGATGTCTATGGTAAAATATACTTGATGGGATTCATAGCAGATGAGACACCGCAGAAGGAAAGGTTAGTGAGTGTGATGACAGTGTAACAGAAACTATCCAAATAAAACAGAAGACAAAAGGAAAGAAAGGAAGAAAATTAACAAGCATGGTACAATGTTAAGCAAGTAATAATGTCAACTGAGAAACCTGTATGTAGGTCAGGAAGCAAAAGTTATAACTGGACATGGAACAACAGACTGGTTCCAAATAGGAAAAGGGGTATGTCAAGGCTGTATATTGTCACCCTGCTTATTTCACTTATATGCAGAGTACATCATGAGAAACGTTGGGCTGGAGGAAGCACAAGCTGGAATCAAGATTGCCAGGAGAAATAACAATAACCTGAGATATGCAGATGACACCACCCTTATGGCAGAAAGTGAAGAACTAAAGAGCCTCTTGATGAAGGTGGAAGAGGAGAGTGAAAAAGTTGGCTTAAAGCTCAACATTCAGAAAACTAAGATCATGGCATCTGGTCCCATCACTTCATGGCAAATAGATGGGGAAACAGTGGAAACAGTGGCTGACTTTATTTTTGGGGTTCTCCAAAATCACTGCAGATGATGACTGCAGCCATGAAATTAAAAGACGCTTCCTCCTTGGAAGGAAAGTTATGACCAACCTAGACAGCATACTAAAAAGCAAAGACATTACTTTGTCAACAAAGGTCCGTCTAGTCAAGGCTATGGTTTTTCCATCAGTCATGTATGGATGTGAGAGTTGGACTGTAAAAAAATCTGAGCACCAAAGAACTGATGCTTTTGAACTGTGGTGTTGGAGAAGACTCTCTTGAGAGCCCCTTGGACTGTAAGGAGCTCCAACCAGTCCATCCTAAAGGAGATCAGTCCTGGTTGTTCATTGGAAGGACTGATGTTGAAGCTGAAACTCCAATACTTTGGCCACCTGATGCGAAGAGCTGACTCATTGGAAAAGACCCTGATGCTGGGAAAGATTGAGGGCAGGAGGAGAAGGGGACGACAGAGGATGAGATGGTTGGATGGCACCACTGACTCAATGGACATGGGTTTGAGTAAACTCCAGGAGTTGGTGACGGACAGGGAGGCCTGGAGTGCTGTGGTTCATGGGGTCGCAAAGAGTCAGACACGACTGAGTGACTGAAATGGAACTGAACTGGAATGTCAACTGATGTTCAACAAGGATGCCAAGAAATTCAATGGGATAAAGACAGTC